TTGTAAGATTGTTTAGGTTAGGTTTTCCTTTCCTATCTTCCGCAACAATCTTTTGTTCTTCTGTGTGTATTAATTCTTGATATAAATCAATAAGAATTAAAAAGTTGAAAAAATCTGTGTAATTGTATTCAACCCCCCCTTCTACAATTACTTTCTGCTTATTGCCTTGCCCTTCGGGACTAACACTTACCATATCCAACGGGATGAGGTAGTGTGACTTAGTAAGCGCTTATTCGGGTAAGAGTTTGATAAACAGCCCCTAAATAATCAATATATGCCAAAAAGAATCAAACGATGCTTCTTTAATTCTCAATTTAAAATCATTACCATAACGATCGTGGTTTGAAATTGAGGATGAACACATCATTTGGCTTTGCATCACCATCTAAGCTTAATGGTATACTTGAAAACGTACCCTTGATTTAAAGTGGTTTGTATACTTCCGCAACTTGTTCCTTTTTTCGTAAAAATATATTCGTTCAAGAAGGGTCTCAAATCTTTCCGTTTTCCAAGTGGATCCAATTTGTTCGTTCGTAAAGCTATTTATTTGGTCATAGACATTTTTTGAACGCATATAACAAGGTGGGTGGTCTTTTGCAACCCATTCGATGTCAAAAGTTGTTAACAGAAGTTGTAAATTTAAAAAGGTTCATCTGGAATTGGCCCAAACTTGACGCAAACACACAGTTTCTGGGTTCATAACTTCATTTGAGAGAGTTCACGCAATGCGATCCACTAATCCTGACCTGTCCAACTTATAAGAAAGCGGGTCTGATCCGTGGCCCATTCTTTGATTTTTATTCCCAACATGTTACTGATCAAAACCCAAAACAGAACCCAACTTAAGGTCATCGATATAAGTGCTTGATTTCGATTTCTAAATGTAAATTCTTTTGATCTTGAACCAATTTCCAACAATATTTCAATCAAACAAATGGAATCTGAACTACTTCCTATCCAATTTAGCTCAACTATTTTTTGGATTTCAGATATCTGTATGTTAAGGTTTTCAAGGTTCTTGTTTTTCTTTAGTATACGTTTTTAGTCCCTACGGTTTGTGTAAATTGCTATTTCCATCCTTGTATTTTTCAAATTAGGTTTTTTTGTCCCCATGATTTGTTGTAAATTGCCATTTTCGTCCCTATGGTTTACAATTCGATGCTTTTTTTTTCTTCATATGTATAATTTATATTTTATTGCTTTCTCGTCTATATAATTTACAATTGAGTGTTATTTTCGTCTATGTGGTTTACGTTTGATTGCTATTTTCGTTCTCATACTTGATTACAATGATCGCCTCAGAGATGAAAACATGAAAGATTGACAAAACCACAAGAATGAAAACTGTAATTTTCAAAGTATAAGGATGAAAGTCATAATTCTAACAAAACACATGGACGGAAATCATAGTTTACTTTTTCTCTTTTCATGTTATTATATTTCATGATTCTTGCTTTTTATTTATTTATAATGTTAACAGCTTCAAGATTTTTAAAATAATGGTGTCTAATTAGCGACAGAGATAACGTATAAAGGGAGGGGGGAAGGGACCCCAGTTAAAAAAAATTATCTAGGTTAAATTTTTTTTTTTACAGAATTTACCTTTACTCCCCCAGTAAAAAATTTCAGGGGACCCCAGTCTATAAAGTTGCTGGATCCGCCACTATGTCTAATCTTGTTAACAAAATTCAATATTCTCACTTTTTTGATCTTTGATGCATTCAAGAGGGGTTTGAAGTGTCAATATGAACAAATAGAAGGGTTATATTTTTACTTAAGAAACTTTTGCTAAATCGGTTGCAGCAGCCATAGCCACGGCCAAGTGAAAGCATCACAGTTCTTAACCCCACAACAATACTCGAACCCATAAAAAAATCGCCACTGGTAATGGCGTTCGAAGCACAAAATATCGTATCATTATCAAAATCATGAATTGGTTTGTCATCAGTACCGTTGATTTCTTCAAAGAAGCATACAAATTAGGGTTTTAGAGAGTATCAGTTGGGGTTTAGGGATTTGACAAATTAACAAAGGAAATGGATAATAACAACAACTTAGAGCACACATTGCAGGAAGGAAAGCTTTATCGATACGTAAACAATTTGATCGTTGCTCATCTTCGAGACAACAATCTTACTCAGGTATTTCTCCCTTGTGTTCTTCATTCGATTGATTTCAGTTTTAGTTCCCCTATTCCTCTAATCCCTAGATTCCTAAAACTTAGCTACATTCGATGTGGGTGTTTACAAGATTTATATGCAATTTAAACTATTGGATACAAAATTGCTTTGCTACATTTAATTTTGCAACAATTAGGATGAACTTCGCTTGACATAAAACATTAGCGTTTAAATATCATAATATATGAGTTAAAGATTCAAGTCTCTTGTGATGAGAAAAATGCTTTGTTTCGTCGAATCAAGTTGAGTTGGAGATATGCAAAAAGCAAACCTCTTAATTGACAATTCAAAATTCTACTATTGGAAACGGATAAGGGTGTTCGAAAAGATAGTATCAAGAAAACATAGTATGGTAATTAAGAACATTTTATTTGACATTCAAGACAAAGTCTCCATGTTCCCCTACTTCTCCGGTCATCGGTTGGTACATTCAATTTCTTGATTACAAGCTGATGTTGCATAAAGAAAGGTTAAAACAGACGCCACATAAATCCTCCTCTATCTGTTGTGGGTCGAGGGCTCCTTCTCCTTCCCCCTCTTCAAACTCCGATTCGTCCCAATAACTAAAAAGTGTAGCATGCCTGAATCTAACTGGGGTTCGCGGTGGTGGAGAGACTGGGATCGGAAAAAGAGGGATTCTAGTATCCCAGTAGTGTACTGCTAATCTCTGTGGTATAAATCTTGTGGGTCAGCTCAACTGACAGATAAAAGTTAGGTCGTCAATTTGAGACTCCTTAGAGCTAGTGGGGATTCTCTTGGCTGTTATTTTTAGGGCGCCATGGGATTAGTCAAGGTGCACCCAAGTTGGCCCACGACTACCAAAAAAATGAAATTTTATCTTTAGTGTATTTCAGTCAACTTCTAATAAAGTGAAGTTCAGAACTATAATCTACTAAATTCAAATTTGTTGTTTGATCATGTAAGCATTGTAGGCTTGGTGCATGATGTTGTCAAGGCTAGCTTATGCTCTGTATTTTGTATATATTTGCTAAGACAAAGTGGGAAACTATGATATTTTTGAGGACATAAAAGGGAACGATTGTGTCTTCAATCCGGTCGTTGAAGATCAAATACTTGTCATTATGTGATTGATTGGTGACTTCGATGTTTTGCGTCAATCCGGTTAAACAATTGGCTACTTTGGTGTTCTTAATCAGCTTCAGCACTTAGATTGTGGTCGAAATCTTGAATATGCTCTTCATCGTGACCTGTCTTTTTAGCCGTCACGTTCCACCTTGGTTTGGACTTTTCCTTTGAACGTCAGGCCTTCTATTGTGGTCTTATACCTTCAAGTAAACTTTAAGGCCCTTTATGTGGAGAAGATAAATTAGAGTTGTTTAGGTTCTTTGTCAAAATCATATCAAACAACCAAATATGTTACTCCCTCCGTCCCAAAATAAATATCCACAATAAAAATGGCACACAGTTTTAGGAGTGTAATTATTACACTTTTTAAGTAACTGAATGACACTTTTACCCTTAACAATAGATGGAGTAATTAATTTTTACATTTCACGATTAAGGGTAGAACTGGAAAGTAGGTATTTACTTTTGAAACTGGACACTTATTTTGAGACAAACTAAAATAGAAATGTTGACACTTAATTTGGGGTAGAGGAAGTACAATTTTAAGCCTAAATTGTTGGTAGATATGGTGTCTATATACCTAAACATCTAAGACCTTCTCCAACTAAAAGTGCTAAAGAATAGATAACACTTGTCTAAATTTTAGCACTCAAAATTTTCACTAATCATCTCCAACCGGTTTGTGCTAAACAATAGCACCTTTATATATTTTTAACATGTATTTATTAGTTTATCATTTAACTATAATCATTTTTAATGTATATTAATAGTTTAATTAATTAGTTAAATTTACATTTTATATTTTATTTAACTATAATAATTTTTTTGTGTATATTAATTAGTTTTAGTTAGACCATTAATTGCCATCTATTAATTCAACCTCCCAATTATACCAACACACTTAATTTAGTATTTAGTTTTAAAACTTTTTTAATTATGAAATTTTCAACCAATTAAAACAAAATGTGTCAAAATTACATTTTATTTGAGTTAAAATGAGGTTCATCCTTGTCTTTCAAAGTGTACTAGTATACTTCAACATGACTATTTTTTTTCCACCAATAAGCTTTTAGCACATTTATTTAGCACTTTAGCACATCGGTTGGAGATGGATAACAACCTTGCTTTGTCAAGCATACCTTTGTTGCTAGTTAGTCACGTACTTAAATTGTGACTTCAACTGTTCATGTATGCCAATCATGGTTCTAAAAGGCACTCGATGGCGGCCACCAAGGTGTCTTCAGGCACGCAATGGCGCGAGTTTTTTGAACGCGTTATTTGATTTTTTTGTTTAAAGTTTGTCTTACCGTTTACTTTGTTATGAACTCTATATAACACTTTCTGTAAGCTCTCTCTCTCTCTCTATACATACATACATATATATACATACATACATATATATACATACATACATATATATACATACATACATATATATACATACATACATACATATATATACATACATACATACATATAT